GACGTTAAATTATTTTTACTTACGTTTTTTATCTGGTAAATAGGTTAAACATCCTGAATATATCCGGATACAATGGAAACGTTCATACGGATAAGTGCGGTATACAAAGACCAAGATATACTTGATGCTCCTTTTCGGCCAAAAAGTGCCTGGCTCCATATATTTCCATACAAAAAGGCTGGTTGGTTTAAATTCTATTACTCGATCAATTTTTAACCAATCGAAATTTTGAACCGTAACTTCTGTTGGTCTTGACCAGTTAGTTCTATCGTTATTACGGCTTATTTTCCTAAAAAATATCAAAGTTGGAATAGCTGTCGAAAGACAAGGCATTTTTTTGTAGTCTTTAGTTGAAATGCACCATAGTACTACTACTCGTATCACAGGCATCATGTGGTGGTCTCAAAAGGTTCCTTCGACATGCGGTTCCTGTTTCGATACGAGTCACATCGCTCGTGAAGGGTATCTATCGTGGAGAGCGACTAACACTGCGTTTTGGATCAACCACACAATAGAAAGCAACGTCCACGACAGGTAGAACCGAATTGTAGATTCGATCGGTGTTAAGGAGCTGTGACAATTGCAACAAGGGGCGTGTCCTCGCGGGTCTCAACGTTGTCGGCGACGGCTTCCACGCCTTTCAAGCGTACGATCAAGTCCTCAACGACGGTCCAGAGGAACCAAATGAACACGGTCGGGGCCACCGCGTACACGGACACGGTGTGGGGAGCGGTGCTTTCTCGGAACACCAGCAGAATCAACACACTCACAAAGATCAACGTCAGCGAGTAGATGCGGTACGCATACGCGGTGGCCGCAGGAGACGGCGTGCCTTCGCGGTCGTTGTGGGACAAGGTCGTGGTGATGGAGTCCTTGACCGAGTTGGGCACCACGAAGAGGAACGCGAGCGACGCCGCGGCCGCCACGGCCACCCACACATGCAGTTCGTCCGCGACTGCGGCAGGGGAGACGTACCAAAGGAGCGCGTAGCCGATGGTGGCCACGAGCACGATCAAGACGCGCCAGAGCGAGAACGCTGGCATAGCAAGCAAGATCAGCTGAAGTTTCGAAATGACAGATACCCAAGGAAGGATAGATACCGTACGACGTAGTCATCGGATTACTGCTCGTTTGGGTGAAATCCATCGAATCAAGCGATGTCTTTTTCATGTGCTTTTAGGTCTTAAACCGATGGATGTGTCATTGAGAACCGGAGGTCCAGAAATTTCTCAAAACACACAACTATATACTTAGTATTATATATATACTTGATGTACACTGTACAGTATATGTAGATAGATATACCGGGTATGACTGAGGCTCTGATAATTCTCTATAAATTAATACTAAGTACTCCAGGAGTACTAGTATGTACTACTACAGTCGTAGAGGAGTAATAGTACTGTAATGCTCTACTCGTACAGCTTACAGTTAGTAGGTACTATTAATAGTAGTTAGTATGCTATTAATATACCTTGTCTGGTTGCCAGTCGTACAAGTATTTGCACCAACGTGGTGGGTGCTGCTGTACTGCCGACTACTGTAGTAATACTATTGATGGCTCAACGTTACTAATACTATGTACTACATCGAATACTACAGTATGTATCAACGGGGTACATACTCGTCACTAGTAGTACTATAGTAGGGTTCGTCCATCATCTTGCACTAAGTATGTACTGTAGTCCATCGAGATAGGTGCATTTCCGAGGTGTAAACATGCGCGAGGCATTCTACCGCCGGCGGCTGCGCGAGTCTCGATCGCGGCTTCGACGGCTGCCGCGATCTCGATCTCGACCGATGTCGCCCCTTTCTCGTTCCCGACTTCTGCCGCCGTCGCCCCTTTCTCGTTCCCGACTGCGTTCGCGCGGCGGGGCCTTTCGCTCTCTCGACCGACTGGATGGACGGCTTGACCGTGACGACGGCTTGCGCTCGTCTTTGTCTATCGGAATATATATATATCAAAAACATTCTCATTTCACCAAATATATGCCATGGTGTAAAACATATATATAATATCCACCACAAAACGTGAAATCGTTCATTTCACCTCGAGATCGCGACCGGGACCGACGAGAATGGTGCTCTTGTTTCCCAGATCGCGACGAAGATGGAGGATAGTAGTCCTTGTCCTTAAGCGGCCGATGTGAGGAAGCGGACGACGGGTCATTCGCCCATGGCGGGCCGCCCCATCCACCGTCGCGTCCGCCGCCAGGAGGAGGTCCGCCTCGGAACATGTGTGGTGGAGGCCCATGATGATGGTGGTGGTGACTGCCGCCCTTGCCTGCGAATATGAAAGAACGAACCTGAGGGAAAGGACAGACGCGGAAAGATCGTACCCATGGGAGGCGGCATGTACGCGGCCATCTCCGCGGCGGCCTTAGCCTTCTCCTTCTCTTCGGCCTCCTTGTCCTGTGCCTTCTTGTACGCCAATTCGCGCCGATTCTGCTGCTGCTTGATGCAGTACTCCTAGGAAAGGACATGATCACGACGAGGATGATGGGATGATCATGGAAGCGAACCGCGTACCCTCCAAGTGGTCTCGTCAAAGCCGTAGTTGAAGTAGTCGGAGATGTCGACACCAGGCTTGCGCCACGGCTTGTCTTCCAACACGTCGATGTCGACGTCGAATGCGGTGCGGCGGCCGCCCATGCCGAGAAGGGCCAGTTCGTCAAACGATGGGTCGAATTGCTAGGGGAAAACAACATCATCATCCCGTGTGTTTAGGACATGGATAAAAACATGCATCTGGGCAAACTAGGGTACCTCGTTGCCGGCGCGAGAAGCAGGCTGAAGTTGCGGGCTCACGTGGTCCCCACGGACATATCGGTTGTCGCCGCGGGTGAAGCGAAGTTGCGGCTTGGAAGGCGATGCCGTCGAGTCTTTGAGTACAATGGCGATGCCTTCATCCTCCTCTTCGAGTTCGTCTTCGTCGTCCTCGTCGGCTGGATTATTGTTGGCCGCCGCCGATTCCTTCATGTTGCCATACAGAACGACATCGCCCTCCTCTTCTTCCTCCACCTCCTCCCCTTCCTCCTGAGGACCTTTAGATTCCACCGTCGTCACCACCCCTTCCTTGTATGTTGATGCAGCTTGATGGTTTACCGACGTCGGCAGCACATCATCGCCAAACTCTTCGTCAAAGTCCTCGTCCATGATCTATGTGCCGCCGCACAATTCGTTCGTGTTGCAATGGACGGACCTCTTTGTTTAGATACTCGTTTTCCGAGGTTTCCATGGTCAAAATTCCCTTGTTTCAATCGATTTGGAAATAAACCGTTTTTATTCATCCATTCGATTGTGAACGTCAGCTAAAACCGCACTATATACTGTAACGCATTCGTTTCAACCAAACCCGGGCCCTCGATACAACAACCTTTCCGGATACGTGTCCGGATACCGCACAATTCGTTCGTGTTGCTATGCACTGACCTCTTTGTTTAGATACTCGTTTTCCGAGGTTTCCATGGTCGAATTCCCTTGTTTCAGTCCACTTAGAAATAAACCGTTTTTATTCATCGGGTGAGCTAAAACAACGCGTTCAACCTCGGGTTTCTCCACAAAAACGCATTCGATTCACACCAAACCCAGGCCCTCGATACAACAACCCCTCGATACAACCACCTATCCGGATAAATGTCCGGATACCAAGCCTATATTTTGTTGGTGTACAGAAGTTGAGGGATTGGAGACCAATCGTTGCAGCTTTGGGTTGACAAAACGAGCGTGGGGCATTTACTTTCGTAAAACCTCCTTGCGTCAGGTAAGATGATGATGCCGTCGGCGCCGCCGATTTCGTCGTGGGTGTATGATCATGGTCTCATGCGCAGGGGGTTGTGTATGTGTGTAGAAACATGCCTCATTCCTTCGGTACCCGTGCGCGTACTCGCCACATGTTTGCCCGTTCGTTCCGCCACCGCGGGATGATCAACATGACGACGTACTTGCGTACGTTCAAGGTGGGCGACTACGTGGACATCAAGGCCAACGGTGCCGTCCACAAGGGTATGCCCCACAAGTTCTACCACGGCCGCACCGGCCGCGTGTACAACGTGACCAAGCGCGCCGTCGGCGTCCGCGTCAACAAGGTGGTGGGCAACCGCATCATCCACAAGCACATCAACGTGCGTTTGGAACACGTGCATGCGTCCAAGTGCCGCCAAGATTTCTTGGACCGCGTCAAGTCCAACGAAATCAAGAAGAAGGAAGCGCGCGTCACCGGCGTGCGCCTTGCCATCAAGCGCGAACCTACCCAACCCAAGGCCGCGTACACGTTGAAGACCCAGGGCGTGACCCCCGTCACGTTGGCTCCGCAACCTTTCGTCGACTTGATGTAAGCAGCGACCTAGTGTCGACCAGCAAGGAGGCCATTTTAACGAAACGAGCGTGTGTTTCGATAATGACGAGTGAAAGCACGCGAACATTGCGGTCGTGGACGTCCCCTCTTGTGACAGACAGACAGGCGCGACGACTTGTCTCTCTCTCTCATCGTGCGTATCATACAGGACACAGACACGACATGGGATCGATGCAGTCGAATGGACAGGTGGAGGTTCACGAATGGAGTCATGAGAGATGTGATGGGTAGAAGTAGGGGGACAGATACGCTTACTGTACGATGGTGTACTGTATGTAGTACGGTGTGTCGAGTGATGTGGCTGAGGAATGGTATTGCTATCTTGTGGTGATGATCAATGTACCTGTTGGTTGTGGACCAAGTGCGCCAAGATGGTATGTAGAACATATCATGGCACAGTCCATCTTGATTATGGGGTATGTGTGAACAATCCAGATGCGACATACGTCATGGAGACGCTTCGTATGGGCAGCGTTCCTGTTGCGAGTAAACATCTCTTCTAGTTGCATCGGAGTCTTCTGCTTCTTACTTTCCTGCAATCGCTTACAGTAATGACATGGTACAGACGCACTGCTTGCACCTGTATCACGGAAGCTGTTGTCCCCACATTCCGTTGCATGAGCATTCCGGACTTGTCGCCGCCAGTATTTCATGGAGGTCCGCATTGTCGAGGACATGCATCTCGTGGAGGATGCCGCCTCCGTTTCTCGAGGTCTCATTCAAGTCATGAAGGTCGTGTCTCCATTGCTTCTGCATGTGCTTCCTCGTCCAAAGATCGCGTGGATGATTTTAAGAAGTGCGCGAAAACGCTTGAAGTGGTATCCGGATGCATATATCCGGATATCGTTGAGTTGTTGGTGCCATCCATCAACAACGACAGCACGCACGATGAAGGTGGTGGCGCTGGTGAGTGGCGGCAAGGACAGCATCTACTCCATGATGAAGTGCGTGTCGCACGGGCATGAGATCATCTGCTTGGCGACATTGCAGCCCCCGCACGCGAACGAGGAAGTGGACTCGTTCATGTTCCAGAGCATTGGCACGCACGTTGTGGAACACATTGCGACGTGCATGGAGCTGCCGTGGGTGACGCACACCCTCCAAGGCACGTCCGTGTCGACCGACATGGGATACGATACCACGGAAGGCGACGAAGTAGAGGACTTGCTTCGCCTGCTGGAAGAAGTCCACCGGCAATTCCCCGACGTTCAAGCCGTGTCGAGTGGTGCCATCTTCTCCAACTACCAACGCACCCGCGTCGAGCACGTGTACGGGGAAGCGATCTAAATGACATGTATCCATCGATCTCAATGTAGATGCGCGCGGCTCAACTTGACGTCGTTGGCGTACCTATGGCGTCGGCCGCAACACGAACTCATGGACGAGATGCTCGACCGCGGCGTGCACGCAATCTTGGTCAAAGTGGCGTCGATGGGTATATACATCGTAACCATTTGTGAACGTTTTCTCGCCTTCATTTGTTAACTCATACTACTAGGGTTGAATCCCCAAAAGCACCTCGGGCAGTCCCTTGCTGACATGCACTCGACGTTTCTCGACTTGGTATTATTATTATTATTATTATGGTCAACATAAGTGATGATTAACAAAACGTGACCTGTTTCAGCACGACAAGTACCAGTTTCACATTTGCGGCGAAGGCGGCGAGTACGAAACACTGACGCTGGACTGCCCGTTGTACACAAAGCGCCTGGTCATGTACGTAACTACGTTGTCGTTTGGTCACGTTTTGTGAATCGATTCACAAATAGCGACCAAGCCCACCTCCATATTCACGCCGACGATATGTTTGCCCCCGTGGGGTTGTATTGCATCGATGCATTGCATGTCGAAGCCAAGGAAAAAGACCAGGTTATTCCCGTGAATCCCACTCCAACGTCTTGTATGGGGATTTATTCCCCGTCGGACGTGTCCGATCCCAAGGATTTTCCCCCACCGCCACTCCCCGCCCGTCAATTTCGAGACCAACTGGTCGTAGCTGGCATTGCCTCGTCCAACTCGACAATGTCCTTAACCGACACTGTCCACGACGTATTTGCCCAGCTTGAACGTACGACCTCCCTTTAAGAACCTCCCACCATACCTCGTTATAAGAACATGTCGGTAGAGACCCTCCAAAGCCACGACATGACGTTAGCAGACGTGGTGTATGTGCATGTTTACGTCAACAATATCGACACCTTTGGAGACGTGAACAATGTATTTGCCACGTACTTTCCAGCCGCGAATCCACCGTGTCGCAGCTGTGTCCAAGTACATCTATCACGTGATATAGTATTAGACTGCTGGGCATCCAAAGCTACAAGAAATACCCTCCACGTGCGCAGCATCTCAGAGTGGGCGCCCACTTGCATTGGTCCGTACAGCCAGGCCAATACGGTACGAATAGTATTACTACTAGTACTAGTACTAGTACCTCATTTGGTATGACGATTAGCTGCACTCGTCGTTGATTCTCCTCGCGGGGCAAATTCCCCTCGTGCCAGCCACCATGACGCTGTCGTCTACTCCCGACGACTTGGCATTGGTAAATGTAATATTTGATGGATCTTTGAATATATATATATATATATATGTATACTCGTGTATAGTTTAATGTATGTATATTGACTTGAAGGCTGGGGTACTTGCCTGTCGTGACACTATGGGTTTTTGTTGAATACATATATATATATATATATATACTGTGTGTATATTGAGAGGCGGATATATATATATATATATATATATGAATTTGAATAGTGTGTATTGAATGTTGCGGGGGTGCTATATCGACTTGAAGGCTGGGGTACTTGTCGCGACACTGGGATTTTGTTGAATCCAATCATATATATATATATATATATATATATATATATATTGAGAGGTGGATATATATATATGGAGACTAGGATATTTATATATATATATATATATAAATAGTGTGTATCGAATGTGGCGGGGGTGCTGGAAGCGACAGAGTCCAATTTGCGGCACGTGGTATCGACTGTCGTGTATAAAACGTCTCGTACGACGTATAAAAAACAACTGCGCACGATGCTTACGTCGAATTTGCATCGTCGCGACGCGTTCGAAACGGAAGGAGACAGCGACGAAAGCGACGACGACGTCGACAAAATGGACGCCAAGCTCGCCTTATCGGTACATCAATATATATATATATGGAAATAATATATATATATATAGAAAGTATCGCCCATTTGTGTGGTGACGGTGCCAGCATTGCCCAAGGGAGCAAGTGTCGAAGTGGAAATGGTAGCGCTGACCCACAAAGCGATGAAACTATTTACCCCGTTCGGGTATCATAAACGTACGTGTATATGTATGGTGTCGTCGTTTGATTGGCTGTTTCTCGATAAATGGCTCCGAAATGACCAATAGGAGACGGCGATTTCATCAGCGAATGGTCGATTGCCACGAGAATGCTCTGTGTGGGCTTTGTGTACGTGCAAGAAGGGGATATTGCCGACTACAATATGGGGCTGGCCCTACGGCGGCATGTGCTGGGGGTGCTGAGGCAAGCCAAGATGACGTGGCACAGCGTGCTGCATTTCCGCGTGCATTACACGGGCATTTGTCCAAGTAAGATGGATATATATATATATGTATTCTATTAGTGTCGTCTGAATGGGTGGTGTGTGTATTTTGCAGCGCTTGAAGGCGTGGACGTCCCCATCACTTTTGTGCCTGTGGAAGCGATCGCGGTCCCGGAAAATAGTGTGACAACGACCACGGCAAATAGTGTGACCACGACGAAGCTTGCCATTCAAGTCGTCGCGTACAACGGAGAGCTCATGGAGACAGACTTGTGGCTCGCCAAGCAGATCTAATTCATATCGACTTCGTCATACAATATGCGGTCACAAACTCCTAGTAGTAGTACTAGTAGCTTCCTACTAATATTAACACTACTATTAATATTAATACAGTAGTACCACATACTTCGAAGTACTACGTAGTAGTACTATTAATAGGAAAGTACTTGCTTCGTATAATATTACTGTGAATATATATTTTCATCGAGTTTCTGGAAACGAGAATGGAATTATCCGGATAACACTGTCTAATCACATACTCGAGTTTTATCCAGCCATGGTGGAGTTTAACGTGGACGTAATATTAATCCTCACAGGTATTCTAAATTCAGCCAATCAGAGGGCGGTATGCCTTGGTTGGTTCTGTGGTCGAATCATGGATGGTTCATGCGGTCACTTTTGAACTTCCCGTTTTTCAGACCCCCTTATCCATGTAAGTCGGTGCCGCGTCCCCGTTGAATGTGTGCATGTTGATGATGCAGAACTCTCTCCCTTCCTCTGGAAGGCGATGAGATGGAAGTCCCTCAACCGAAGACGCGTGCGTCCTTGTGGAGAGGACGGCGTGCTTCGTCGTGAGGGGCATCCATGGAGGCAGACGCTGTCGACGCCCGCTGTGGGTGTCGGCGCGCTCTGACCTTGGCGACTTGACTGAGAACTCACCTCGTGGTTGTAGCATGGTGCGCATGTCCGTCCTCGCCGATTGCCTCAAGACGATCTACAACGCCGAAAAGCGCGGCAAGCGCCAAGTCCTCGTGCGCCCTTCTTCCAAGGTGATCGTCAAGTTCTTGCAAACCATGCAAAAGAACGGGTACATTGGCGAATTCGAAATCATCGACGACCACCGTGGTGGCAAGATCGTGATTGAATTGCGCGGACGCATCAACAAGTGCGGCGTGATCTCGCCCCGCTTCGACGTCAAGCAGTCCGACATCGAGAAGTGGATCAACAACTTGTTGCCGTCGCGCCAATTCGGCCACCTCGTGCTCTCCACCACGTATGGCATCATGGACCACAACGAAGCCCGTCGCAAGGCCACTGGTGGCAAGATCATCGGCTTCTTCTATTAAGTCTGCTGTTTGGGCGGGGATAACTCTTAACGGAAGCAGCCCCACTCGGGTCGTTCAACATGACAAGTGCTGGTTATTTACATTTGTAGTTAACTACTTCTGCACTAGTTAGTGCAGCAATGCGCCAAAGTGTATGGAATATAACATACATATATGTATAAACGTTAATATTGCAAGTCTAATCTACTGTTCGCTCTTATTGATATTATATACCCAAACCATATGTATTTTAGCCATACTGTGAATTCGCTTTACACTTCCAAAATTTGTCTATTATCAATACTGAATCACGCTGGAGTTCTGATTGGCTGACTATACTTGCCTTTCTGTAAGAGCCAATCAAATCCACTCAAAATTGGATTATTAGCCAATAGCGTCGATTCGTGATTTGATTCGGCGGCTTGATTTGATTTGACAGGGTCTGGAAACTCGTAAATTTTACTAACAGTAACTATTAACGTTAATACTATAAACGTTATTATTACTATTTTGCGCATTGCTGCTTTTGCGTATGAAAATCGCAAGGTAATAATAATATGTCGACATCTTGATAATGTTATCACATGGCAACACAATCTGTGTTGGCCGTAATACAGTGCCGTGGGATGAGTGGTTTCTATCGTTACTGTGGTAGTTGCTGCGGTAGTTGGTGGGGAGGGGGTTCAATGCCATAGTAGCACTCCAATCCGTCGTCGTTGGTGAGTGACACGTCTGCGCCCTTTGAGATCAAGTACGCGCCCAACGTGTCACCGTACCCATAGGCAAAGCAAAAGTGTAGTGGGGTATTTCTCCGTTTCTATTTCAAAAAGAATCAATAGATCACCATGGGAGGAGAAACATATATATATATAAATATATATCCTAGATAGGCCACAACAAAAACAAATTCACAACGCGTACGTTGCGGGCGTTGATATTGGCGCCGCGACGCAGCAGTTCCTTGGTGAGGCGCTTGAGGCCATTCTGGCATGCGATGATGAGCAGCGAGTTGCCGTGCTCGTCGGGGGTGTTGACGGGCAGTCCGCGGTCCAGAACGGCCCTGACGTCGTCCACTCGGTTGTGTCTGGCTAGCGAGAATACGTCTACGGGCTTGACGGGTTTTGCAAACGCAATGTCCTTGTAGTACGACCGTCGTTGGGGCGGCGTCGGTGGGAGGATGCTGAGAGGCTGACGAAGTGACGACCGGGATAACAACCCAATAGAACGAGGGGAAGAATCCGCCATAGAGTCGTCTTCGCGCTCGTCGGACGAGTACGATGTGAGCTCGTGGCGGGGCGAGTCATATGATGAAGCGGCCGCCCCGCGAGGAGACGTGAAGCGGTCGTCTTCTACGGGCAACGACGGATCGGGATGCGCTTGGACAGATGCTGGCATGGAGAAGGCAGGCGGAGGAGGAGCGGCGATGGTGCCAATTCGGCGCGCGGCATGCCGCGGTGTCGAGAACTGCGTCGCCATTGCCCCACTACTGGTTGTGTGTTGCGTTTAGTAACGGTTTATGTAACTGTCACCACCTTCTATCGTGACTTGACAGTCATTTCGCCAAACAGCATTCGAATCTACTTGATCCTTACTATACTATACAAATATTAGTATATATGTGGTTTTGCCCAATGCCGAGGAGTCAAACGTTTGGATTGGCAGAAATTCGACATGACGTGATTTGATTGGCCCAGGCGGATCTTTACTCAACTCTCCTATGACATTCGTTGCTCCAGTGACGAATCGATATGACAATCTATGTGTTAAACGAGGGCTGGTTGGTGACGAGCCCAGCTTAGCACTAACGTTACTACTATTAATACACCAAGCGTCCCTACCGGTTGTACGTGGATTTGTGTGACAACGACTCATAACAAGCAATGTATAATGTTATTATACTACGGGGTCGATTCTACATGATTGACTGTGAAGTCGTTGACAGTGAGTCGGGCGACGGGCAACTCGAACGCCCACCGTGCGAGCAACCGGTCGCACGCCCTCCTCCAGATGGAGCACGTGAGCGACCGCATCTTGCCGTCGGGTTTGTCGACTTGGCCGAGTCCAAGCACGCCGGCCGAGTCACGGACAGTGACATCCAGTAGAAGGGCGATGAGCAGCAAGAGTGTGCCGAGAAATCAACCAATCGCTGTGCTCCCTCCGCGCATACTCTCGAGCGACGGCCCGGGCCATCACAGAGTAAGCTGCATGTCCAAGCTGATGCTGGCCCTGCGAGGGCTAGTAGTATTACTCGTTCACATACTCGTAGAAATGGTAGTTCGAATAGCTCGTAACGACATGACTGTAATAGCGCTTGACAATTATGAGCGTGTACGACTGAATAGAACACCCCACATATATAAGATCGAGACCACCACCCGCAACACCACCACACCCGCCGACACCGCCACGGCGGATGATGCGGCGAAGATCACCACGACACCCGCCACAGTGAAGACCACGACACTTGACACGAGGAAGACCTGGTTTGTCGTGTCGGGAGTCGTGGTCTTCATCACGGCGGGCACCACCAACGATGGGGTGCAGAGCAATTGAAACATTGGCTGTGAAAGACATAATAATATTTATATAGTCGTGATCTTATACAGTATTATGCGATGTAAGTTGACTGAAGCAATAACAATTGATTCGTATTTAAAAAAATGTGATTTCTACTGTGAATAAAAATATCCACCAAACATGTATCGTTATTTTCACAACCCAATTCTATTGGACAATTTTGGAGTGCAAAGTTTGCTTTCTTCGGTAGGCCTTGCATTCTGAAGTTCCCTGTAGTGTCATCCAGTATCACACTAACGTTAATTTCATTCCCACACTACTTCGATGTTGAATTGGTCGAAGAGTTGACTTGGTTATTGGTCACTTGGTTCGTGTTGCGGTTTTTGATTGGTCGTATACTGTATCGATTCGCTGCCTCGATTCACTGTCAGTAGTGCTGCTCATCTCCAATTTCGAATATGTCGACTTGACAATCTATGGTTTGGGCAGGTAACGATTTGACAACTACGCGAGTATTATACGATCTAGTTTTTGGAAAGATACCCCCCCCAGCCGCGTTAAACGCCAAGTACGACCAAGAACAGCAGACTTATAATCGGCTCAAGAACATCCTGAAGCTCCCATGTCAAGGATATGTGGATATGACGGATGTGGCCTGCTACAGCTACGGACTGGTGCGATCGGTGGACCAGTTTATCGAGTTTTCCGGCATCTCCCCAAACAACGCCGAGTTGGACACACATAGGTGCAACCAGCTGCACTGGGTGCCGTACGCCCATCCCGAGGTGGTCGAGGCGTGGGTGCCTGGCTACCATATGCACCCACTGGTTCCAGATATTAGCCCATCTCAAGCAGCAATGAACAACAAACAAGTTCATGCGTTGATGGACTTACTAGTTAACGCGACTAGCAGTACTATTAATAGTACTAGTACTACCCACGACCTAGTAGCTGCAGGGAAGCAAGCGATTGCAGATGGATTAAGACAACAGAAAGCCAACGTGGACGAGTTACTCAAGCAGGTGGCGGCGTTAACTATTCTTAGTGACGAGTGGAAGGAAGTGAAGAACGCCGTGGTTCAAGACAAAGAGCAGTGATGGACAGAGCTACTTTTAGTTGGATGGGCAGCAGGCTGGATGGTGCTCTGATTGTCCTCGTGAAGAGGAATCGATGTGGTGATGGGATGTCCCATCTCACCAACTGCCTGCTTGATGTACAGGCATTCTTGTGCAACTGTGCACAGAATCATGAGTTCTGCCTCAGTTGTCGAGAGGACGATGCTCCGTAGCCTCTTAGCGATTCAAGAGATCGCAGAGTTCCGGTAAAATGTCACGAAGCCCGCGACGCAGCGTCGGGTGTCAAAACAGTTAGCGTAGTCACTGTCCGCAAACGCATGGAGCGGAGCGGAGTGATCGTACGCACCGCCGAGGACGAGACCGTAGTCGATCGTTCCTCTGATGTACCGGAGGGCGCGCTTGGCTGCCTGCCAGTGAGCAGGGCCGGGGTTCGTGAGGAACTAACTGGCTCAGTTGTTGGACGACGTACGCGAGGTCGGGTCGAGTGCTAATTATGAGATGCATGATGCTGCCGACTACCGATCGGTAAGACTTGTCCACCATGGAGTAGCGGTTCAGCATCGTTCTGAGGACACATCGACTCAGACAGCTTGAGGTTGTACAGTACTCCATTGGAGTGGGGGCTGGTTTTGAATTCTCCATGCTGAACCTCTTGAGGATCGATTGATGCATTGTGAGAGTTCGAGCAGAACGATCTCGAACAATGTGGAATCCGAGAATAAAAGTGAGAGCCCCAAGATCGTGCATTCGAAAACGCGATGAGAGACTATGTTTGATGGTGCTCATCATGTCCGGTGAAGGAGCCATGATGACCAGGTCGTCAACGTAGACGCAGATGTAAACGGCATGGCCGTCCATCTGCTTGGTGAAGACACAGCGGTCTTTGACGAGCTGGGTGTACCCTTGCCGGCGCAAGTAGGTAGCTAGTGTCTGGTACCACAAGCGAGGGGCTTGCTTGAGACCATAAACACTGCGGAGGACCCGAAAGACATCGCGGCAATTCTTCGCGGTGTCAAATCCGGGTGGATGTTTGACATAGACCTCGCAGTCGATTTCCCCGTTGAGAAAGGCGGTGATGACATCCATTGCATCGATCTCGTAGTCGAGAGACGCGCCGAGAGTGAGCATCGTTCGTAGGATTTCTTTGGCAATGACCGGGGAGTAGCTCTCCTCGTAGTCGACGCCTTGAATTTGAGTGTGTCCTTGGATCACAAGGCGCGCTTTGTAGCGAGCGACGCGTCTCGTAGCCTTTGTGGTCGAGTC